TCACCATTATTAAATGTTAATTATTCGGATCTGTGTGGTATTATTCTGGAACCATCATACAACCCTGTACAATTTTTTACACTAATACCTTGCGCGCAGCTGGTATATCACATGTGATTTGAATTAATGCACAATGAAACATACGCCCAATTGGGTATTGAGCGATTTTAAATAGTTGGCCACTCCAAAGTTGCTTTAACTCATTTACCATAGGCTGAAGATAATTTTGCAATTGATTTGTATCCGGTTCCTTTGGGCCGGGTATAATGCCGACGAGAATGAGATTTTCACTTCGATATCTTATATGCCTTGGAAAATTAAGAATTGTCATGTATATTGGTGCACAACTTCGTTTAACATGACTATATGGAGTGTACCAGTCAAGGTTAAAAGCTAATCCAATTCGAACATCAGTACTATTTCCTACAAAAAAAGGTTGTCCTTGTTCATCTAAAAATTTTTTCCAAACTTTCCCGTCGTAGATATCACCTAATACTCCTTTTTCAACTTGTCGTTTAAATGGTGAATCCATTAATTTTTCATTAGATTCATCTGCTAATATTGACGCAATTCTCGTGATAATAGATTGGTAAGGATAAATTGCTAAAGGCTATAAAAATGTTAAATTTTAAATTTTAAATATTAAAATTAGTCGAATCACGTGATGTCCGAGATAATTATTAACAAAGGCTTTACTTAACTTTATATTTAAGTTTTCCTCCCGATCTTCTAACAGCTTTTGTTATTACTTGTCCACATTTAAGACATTTTGTATGTTCTGAAGTTTTTAAGGGCAAATCTGTGGATAAATAAAGAGAATGGCAGTGTAAACATATAGTATATTTGAGAACGGAGCTCGGTTGTGCAATAAGTTTTTCTACAAAATGTTGACTTCGTGGAAAATTTTGAAATTGAAAAATGTTTAAATATGTTAATACTTGATAAAAGAAGATAATTAAAGTTATAATTCCAGTTTTGGTAATCATAAATGATCGCTGAAACAAGAATAACCAAAGAATAATCCATTGTATCACATGATTTTCTTTCAAAAGCGGCGGATTGTATAAAAATTGTACAGGGTTGTATGATGGTTCCAGAATAATACCACACAGATCCGAATAATTAACATTTAATAATGGTGA